GTTATGCCTTTCTCGAAGTCTTCTGCATCGAGAAGTAACAGTTGACTTATGATCAAATCTATCGTCATGTCATCCACCTATTCAACATCAATGAAAAAAAATAACAAATGGATTCAAACCAGCAAATAATCACCGCGACCTTCAAATTCAAAATCATAGAACATAAAATTTCTGAGATTCAATCTTAATCCAATTTCACTGTATTCCAAAGAACAATATAGCAAATAGATATCAATAAACAAAACCAAATTCCAAATTTAATTATAAAACTAAAAACAAATAAAATTCATACTTAAAACACACTTGCTAGCATACTAGTATGCTAACTAAAACATACATACAAAGGTAGACATCACGGTACGACTGAGGGCTACACTCGGAGCTCACGCACCCCTCTATCCTACCTAGGGTAGAAATCCAGAATTTTACATCAGATTGCGTTACCCTCTAAATTGCTCCGTTGAGCCTTGGGGCATATACGCCCAGTTAGCAAATATGTGCCTGGTGCACAATCTTAAGGTTGACCATATCTTAGCATACAAATGTTCCCTTATATTCTATAGTTATTCGGGTGTCCGTTTCATATCTCGAACATCATACAAAGTAAGTATTATGATTTCTTAAATTATAGGGTTTCTAAGTTAAATTTAACTTGTTAATATTGTTTTCACTTAATGTCTTATTGAAGGATTAAATAGTGGTTTGGGAACCTCAACCATGTTTCTAAAATTTCCCAAAAATTTTTATCTTTGGAAAGGAGGTAGTATTAATATTGACACATCAGTACCAATACTGACTTAGGAGTATCGATACCCCTACTTGAATATCGATACCAACATCTTAAAATATACCTTGAGAAAAAAAGATAGTATTAATACCCTTATAGGGAGTAACAATACTCCCATGAGTATTAGTGTCAAAATGGTATTCTGGATTTTCAATATCGAAACATTTCCATCCAGTATCGAAACATTTCCATCCGGTATTGAGACCGGGCCTAGATTATCGATACTCTATGCATGAGTATCGATAATTCTGCTTTAAAACTCATGTATTTTTGCCTAGCATATGAACAATATCGATACTGACCCATACAACATTGATATTGACACCCAAAATGCCTTGTTTGAGCATCTTCAACCCTTCTAAAATGTCCTAAAGACCCTAGGGAGGTCCCCAAATATTATTAGTATCTTATTTAAGTTTATTAGGGTAATAAAGAGATATCATATAACTTAAAAACACATAGATTTGAAATCTACCATGATCATGCTCTTAAATCCTTCAAAGCTAATGTAAGCTACATAAGTGCATGGTAATGCTTACAATTGAAATAAGAAGGTTATAAGGGTGTTACCTTAAGGTTTTGGTAGCATAAAAGAGTCCTAAATTACCCCAAAGTTAACTTCTCTTTCCCCTTACTTTGGACCCTTCTCCCACTTCTTCCACTAATGCATAAAGAAATATTGTTACTAGGTTATATAGGAGGCTATTAAGAGTCTAAAAACATTTCTTAAAGTTCATCCTTCCCCAAACACAAGCTAGAATCCTTTATTTCATAAACCCCCACAAAAATCAATTTTTAGTTTAAAGCTTAAAACTTGACATATGAGACTTGAAATGAAGCTCTAGAATGGAGAATTAACTTTCTTACCTTAGATGACTCACCTAAAAATTGGAAATCCTTAGAGCTTCACTTGAAAGAGAAGAATGTGAAGAAAAAATGAGAGATATGAGGAAGAGTGTTTGGTGAAGAAGATATAAGAGTGGTTCACGTTAATATCAAGAAAATAAAGGGGTTTAGCTCATGATTTGAAAAATGGTAAAATCCACTTCAAGTTCCTTTCCTTTTATTTCATTACAATCTTGTCCCCAAGGCTTAATATTGAGCCCAAACCAAGCCCAAATCCTAATTAATTTTGATCCAACTATCTTACTAAGTCCTTTGGGTTGTATTAACGGGTCTCGGGTCAATCCGAACTAATAACCCGGGATTTAGGTTATTACAATAATATTATTTATTGTATTTGATGTTTATAATAAAAAAAATTAAAAAAAAAACTTACCAACCAGTAGAAAATGAATTACACAACATCATCCAAACAACGTAAAATGATTTCCAAAAAATGTTTTCCAGGAAATGTATTTCATTTTACGGAATTCATTTTTCGGAATCTGTTTTCTGTGAAACAAACGAACCTTTAATAAACAAACTAGAAAAGAGGTGTGTTCGATTTATTTATTTCATGAACAAGCTCGTTTGAAATTTTATTTTTATCAACTCATGAGCTTGTTTACCCCCTTTTATTTTTATAGTTTAAATATTGGTGAAGTTAGGGATGAAATTAAACATATGTAAACTTTGGAGTTCAAATTGTTAATTCTAAAGTGCTTAGAGTCTAGTGACATAATATCATCATTTTTAATTGTTACTAGTTTCTGAACATTAAACAAATGTATTCGCGAACAATGAAACAAAGATGAATACATTTAAAAGGAAACAAATAAATATGATATTAAAAATTTAGCTGAACATGAGTTATATACATGATAATCTTTTTAAAAAAACGAACACAAATAAGTTTCTTCATTCAATCTCAATTTATTTACTCCTATTTTTGGGTTTGAACATTTGAGAAAACTTTTCATGTATAATGAAAAATAACACAACCCACAAGAACTGTAGCTTTCTGTAGGAATCTCGAGGAGGAAAGATGAGTGTTGATGGAATGTAAAGCAATAAAGTTTCGAAAATGAGAAGGTTTCCACTTTTCTTTTTTAAATCTCATCCTTTCAAAATGGAAGGGAACACTCTTTTTCTTCAATTTGAGCTTAATTCACAAATTGATACTCGGCTACATCATATTTTTCCTAGTCCCTAAAACTTTAACTTGTATCTAAACTTTATTTGAAAAATGTATACTTTAGGTACCAATTTGACAATTAACCCTTTAAATTAAATACATCTTTTTTTCATTTTATTCCTAACTCAAACACATGAAATGTTCTTTTTATTGATATTCTTTTCCTTGCCCTTTTTCAGTTTATTCACTGTTTTCTTTTCCTTTATGCTATTGCAAATTGAATGTAAAACTAGATGTGTCAGAACTTTGAATAAAATATTTTCATATTTAAACAGAGTTTACCTAAACTAAATTACATGATAATAATTAAAATTTTAATTATAAAACTATTATTGATATAATTTATAACTTTATATAGCAAAACGGGGTAGACTTGTAGATTCTTTTATACGGTAAAAAGGGGCTGACTTGCACATTTTTTGTCAAATTTTATTATTAGTCCCTACCTAACATACAAGTTAAAGTTTAAGTCCTTATATTCTAATTTGATCATAAATAGTCAATTTTTTTATAAAAAATTTTTGGAGTTTCAATCTTGATCTAAATGGTAGTCACTACATTTGTTATGTCAAGGTTCTATAAGTTGTAGATTTATATCATATTCTCAATTTGATCATTTTGTGTTCTTACATATATTTTTAGAATATTTTGTTTTATAATCTAATTATATTTTCTCATTATAGGGGTAATGGGTGCATTGAACTTGATGGTAAATCAATGGGAATTTGAATGGAAGAGGGAGGGGGGAATAGGCAGTCCATGATTCTGTATTCTTTCAAAATGTTAGGGTTGGGGCATCTTATAAAGTCCAACTTTATTTCCCCTTTTCTCTATCGAATTATTGCTCTACCACTCCCTTTCTTCTTTTTTTCCGATCTTGACTTGCAAAGGAGCATGACATGGTGGGGCTTGCCATCCACCATTTCAGATTCTTTACCATTTCCTTTATCAAATTTTCAGTACCTAAACTATCACTTTTGTTCTGTTTTAGTTATCTAATTATTATTTTGTTTTTCAAAAATCATGCCTGACGTTACGTTTTGGTTTCATTTTGGTCACCCGCTATTAAAAATTAACAGAACTAATGACATGTCATTTTTTCAATGATAACGTGAAATTACCTTACGGTAACATGCCAATATCGCCATTAACCTTTTAACGGTGGGTAGGGTTGCACAAAAGTCGGATTTCAATCCGATCCGGATCGGTTTTTATCCGATCCGGTTTTTTCCCATAGAAAAAAAAACCGGTTTATAAAATAACCGGTTCGGTTTCTAACCGGTTTGGAGGGCCGGATATCCTAACCGGTGTAACCGGTTTCGGTTTTAAAAAACCGGTTTTTTTAAAAAATCGGTTATAAAAAACCGATTTTAATATTATTAAAATTACCGGTCTAGGTTTTTTTTAAAAACCGGATATTAACGGCTAGTTTTTTAAACTCAGACCGGTTTTTTTTCGGATAAAAACCCGTTTTTTTCAAACCGGTTTTTTATCTGGTAAAAAAACCGGTCTAGGTTTTTTTTTCCAAACCAGTTAAAATAACCGGTTTAAAAAAATCCGACCCGGTTTTTCCCAAATCCGGTTTCGGATATTTTTTTCGTAAAATCGGATATTCGGATTTTTTGTGCACCCCTAACGGTGGGTGACCAAAATGTAACGTTAAGTATGATTTTGAAACAAAAAATAGTTGGACGACCAAAACGAAATAAAAGTGATATGTAACGTTAAGTATGATTTTGAAACAAAAAATAGTTGGACGACCAAAACGAAATAAAAGTGATAATTGGGTACTAAATGTGTAGTTTACCTTAATATTTACAGTCATGATTTGAACTTGTTCTTGTGTCCAAGTGGTTGCTTTGTTACATGTTTATGAGTGAAATCAATTTCAGTCATCAATGATTGAGGCCAACGAAAACTGCAGCCCCCTAGAATATGACCCTATATGTAAATATGGAACAATTGCTTTGTTAATTTTCAAGGGGAAAAATACTAATATGGAATCCACCCAAAAAATGACAGATAAAGCATGGTTTGTGGACATCTTCTTCGTCTCCTTTTTCGAAAAGAATGAACAATTCCTTTTCTGCATAAATACCAAATCTCATGGTGCGTCTACTGTCTGCATATCTTTTTCCTTTTCTCTCTCAACTCTGTTTAGTGCATCCCTCCAACAGGAAAATAAACAAAAATGGGGGCTCTCGATTATATTTCAAACTTCTGCACCGTCTCCGAAGGAAGGAGCAAACGCAAGCCAATGCAGGTACCTTTTCTGTTTATTTTCTTCCGAATAGTCTCGGGTGATTGTCAGTAAATGTTCAGAATCTTTTTGACAAGGCAAACACACTCAACAGGCATAGTTACTTGAACCTAGACCTTCAAAGAGAACCATTAAAGAAAGAAATCACCTGGAAAAACTCTAGTTTCTCTAATGCCGACTCTTTTAAAATTTCACAGACAGTTGAAATCAAGGTTAAAATGGATTGTGATGGGTGTGAAAGAAGAGTCAGAAAAGCTGTTACAAACATGAAAGGTCCAATTCCACCCCCCCCTTTTTCTTTTTATAAACATCTCTTTTAACATTAAGATTTCGAGACACTCGTCTAACGTAACACTGACCATTAGTTGTATGTTGTTGACACAGGTGTAAAAAGTGTTGAAGTGGTACGGAAACAGAGCCGGGTAACGGTGACCGGAAACGTGGATCCGAACACGGTGTTGAAGAGGGTGAAGAGCACGGGGAAGAGGGCAGAGTTCTGGCCTTACATACCGCAGCATGTGGCATTGTATCCGTACGCAACGGGGGCGTATGACAAAAGGGCACCGGCGGGATATATAAGGAACGTGGTGCAAGCTTATCCGGCTCCTTCTTCCAACGCTCCCGAAGAGAAGTTCGCTTCCTTCTTCAGCGACGACAACGTCCATGCATGTTCCATCATGTAGCATCAATTATGAATTTTGATGCTGGATTTTTTACCATGTATAACAGTTCATTGAGAAATATATATAGAAAGAGCTAAATTCACTCATAACTTATAATTTTGCGCCTTTTTTTATAATTAGATTAAATGAGTTTAATGGTTAAGATCAAAATTTTTAAATTACAGATTTTTATTCTATTTTTTCCTGTAAAATCTCTTCATTTCCTATTTTTTTATTTTAATTATTTATTTTCACTCATTACCCATATAAAAGTTTGAATGTTTTATTCATACTTATACGTATTAGTTAAATCTCTTTTATATAATTTAACTTGCCTATTTCTAGTTTTACTCCCTCTACTATACTGGATTTTGTTATTTAATCTCTTTATTTCAATTTGACATTATTTAATTTTGATCAAATTTTTCGTTTGTCCCAACACTATGCATGAAAGGTGAATTTAGATATTGTATCATTCAATTTAAAATGTCAATTTTGATACAAACATTATGAGAACAATATGACTAAATTATGAGGAATTAAAATGATCAAATTGAAGAACAAAAAATAAATCCACAACTTAGGCATATTACATTAATTAATAAAAAAATTGAATTAACATCTATTATTTTTTTGAAAGGGAAGTTTTGTATTGTATTTTAGACTCGCAACTACAAAACAAATAAAGATAGAAACTTTGGACTCGTTAAAAAACCTCTCTAGGAAGAAAAAGAGTGCGCCAAGACAACATCGGAACATGGACATATAACGAGATTTTGCCCTCATACCGATCCTCGGAACTGAATCCCGACCAACTTTTCAAACTAACTATACCCCTAGATCAGCATTCCATGATAGAATACGATACTACAACTCTTTTAGGGGGACTATAAATGACTAAATTAAAGTATAACAACCAAGTCCACAACTTTTAGGGGGACTATAGAGTATTTTTTTATTTATTTTGGGAGCCACTGCTTGTACAAATACAAAAATAGAGCTTATTAAAGAAAATACATAAAATAAACAACTCAACAAAAATAAAATGAAATGAGCAATCATACCAACAATCAAATGGTGTAGTGGAATGAGACACTATTTCCCTTAAGCGAAATCCAGAGTTTGAATCTTGACGTCGGTGAATGAAACAAATTGATTTGGGAGGGTCACCCTCACCTATGCAATACCTGATCCGGATTAATTAATTAATATATTTGAAGAAAAAGACAGATATGTATGTCAAGTCAAATTGTATATTCTTTACAGCTTAATTTTCTTACCTATAATTTTAAACTCTAGAAATAATATTACTAGGGATGGACCGAGAGGGTGAGGGTAATCATCTCCTAAAATTTTAAAATTACTATATATTTTAAATTTTTTCTACGTATTTATTATTGAAAATCTATTTCGTCTCCCTGGAATTTTAGTTTGCCCCTTGAAGTGTTAGTTCATCCCCCAACATAAAATCTTGCCAATGTCCCTTAATATTAATTTTTCTTTCTATGTATTCATCATTTCTATCAAGCATACCAATGAAAAGAAGAAGAAAAAATTATATTTTTATTTTTCTATGCCTTTAATATTTTTATCTTTTCAAATTTCTTTCTATTCTATCTAATAAACCCTTAAAATCATAATTAACGAGTGACGAGAAACTTTTTGATTGTTTAATTATTTTAAAATTATGAAAATAAGTTAACAATGCATCACATTACTTATTATTATTATACTTAGTCCCATTTATCTAAATAACTTTTAAAATTTCATTTTTATGAATTTAAAATTCCAACGTCTCTGATAAAAGTAAGTTTAAGCAAGTAGGAGGATGAGATTCATTAATCATGAGAACTTTTGGAGACGGTTTAATTTGGAACATCAAATGTTTATGCTTTAATTAAAAAGGGAAAAGAAAAACCAGCATCGACTGCTGAGAGATCCCTTGCTTGATCGGTCTTAATCATCAAAAGCTACATTTTTAGATTTAATTTTGATTATTCCAAGGGAATATATATTTCCGAAAGCATTTGAGAGAGATGGAAACCTTGAGGAGGAGAATTATCTTTTAAAAAAATTAATTTATTTTGCGTAGATTAATAATGACTTGGAATAAGTCTCAAAATATCTCAGGTTAAAAGGTTTGGTGTATAATTAAGTGCAAGATCAGATGATACAGTGATAATTTTCCTACAACAGAAATCTAGAATAGAAATTATGATATAAGCTTGAGACATACCAGCCAACATGAAAATCTCTAGCTCTTTGAGCTGCATAGTTATCGGCCTTTGATCTTGTGAGAGGTTCATACCAATTAAAATCCAAGAGAATTCCAATCATCCCTTGCTGCTTTTCCTGAAGATACATCCAGTTCCGGGTCAATTTATGAACCTCAAGATTACCACAATCAATTGAAGAACCTAAATTGTATAATATAAACCTTAAGGCTGCTATGTGAACCCCTGCTTATTTGTCTATACAATGGAGACATAAACTGACCTGGAATTTTTGACGGTATCTTTTCACTGCTTCAGCATGGCATAAGAGTAGATTATGGGCAGCAATGTAAGGCTCAGTTGCAGAGTTTCCAGCAGTACAGTTTGCAACTTCCTTGGAGCACCGTGAAAGAGGATTGAGGCCATTACCAAAGCCAAGAGCAGCCACAATCCTAGGTTCATTATGTTGAAAAATCAAACCACATGGGCTGTTAAGCAGCCGGTGGCTTTGAAAAAAAAAATTATTAAAAGCTAATTTGTTGATTTTTTATATGGTCAAATTACAAACTTTACTCATTAAACTTTAGTATATTTACAAGATTAAGTCCTTAAGATTTAGCTATAAATACCCTATCCCATTTGGCTTCAAAACCATCCCAAAGCATTCTAGCTTTCTTCCAATACTAGAGAGAATTTAGAGAGTTTCTTGAGAGTTGTTTTCTCTTTTTTATCAAGAGAGAATTATCATTGTTTTTCCTTGGTCGATTGAGAGAAGTGTAATTCCTATTTCTCATAGTGAAATTCTTCTACCGTTGCCCGTGATTTTTACCTTATATTATTCAGGGGTTTTCTACGTAAATTTTGTGTCTCTTTTATTTTCATTTTTATTTTCTCAAATTATCAGTTGCGATTTTGCTCTATCCGATAGCCGTCTTCCGCAACAATTGGTATCAGAGCTAGATTAGAGTGTGTAATATCTGCTTATTGTCTTTGTGGTTACCACCAAAAGGTGGACCTCCAACATAAGAAAATAAGAAGTTATTACACATTTTGAAGGTTCCAGAGAACTATTCACGATAGTGAAATAGTGAGAGCTATCCGTAAAGAAGCTATGGCAACGAAATTTGATATTGAAAAATTCAATGGGAGAAATTTCTCAATTGTACGAGGCCACATCGTTGCACAATAAAATTTTCCTTAAGAGAAATGTACACTCTCCGTATGCCAGAATCTACTTCAGTGACGGAGCACTTAAATACACTGAACACTTTATTTTCCAGATTACATCCTTAAGCTGTAAATAGGAGAACAAGAACGTGCTGACTTCTACTTCAAAGTCTACCAGATTCGTATGATCAACTCATCATCAACTTGACAAATAGTAATGTCACCAGTCTAGTCTTCGATGACGTTGCAGCTTCTGTTCTACAAGAAGAAAATCGGCGCAATAACAAAGAAGACAGACAAGTAAATCTGCAACAAGCAGAAGCATTGACAACGATGACAATGATGAGAGTGAGATCAATAGAACGTGGCCAAAGCAGCAGTCACAAATATGGTAGATCAAAGTCAAGGAGCAAGAAGAATTTAAAGTGTTACAACTGTGGAAAGAAGGGTCATTTGAAGAAGGATTGTTGGAGTCTAAATAAAACTTCCAATCCACAAGGCAATACCGCAAACACTTCAGATGATGGAGATGCTCTATGTTGTGAAACGTCAACCACCGTGGAAGATAGAAAAAGATATGCATATATATAGCTCATTGATTAGGGAGCAACATATCACATGACCTCAAGAAGAGAATGGTTTCATCATTATGAACCTGTCTCAGGAGGATCTGTGTATAGTTACAATGATCATGCCTTAGAGATCGTTGGCGTGGGAACCATCAAATTGAAGATGTATGATGGAACAATCAAAGTTGTTCGAGATGTGCGGTACATGAAGGGCCTGAAGAAAAATTTATTATCCTACGGATTGTTGGATAATAATTCAAGCAAGATTGAGACACAGAAAGGAATCATGAAGGTGTTCCGTGGAGCGCTTGTGGTGCTGAAAGGCGAAAAGATAGCAGCAAACTTGTACATGCTGAAGGGAGAGACTTTACTAGAAGCAGAAGCCTCTGTTGCTTAATGTAGTTCAGATTCTGCAATGCTATGGCATCAGAAACTTGGACACATGTCAGAACAAGGAATGAAAGTTCTTGTGGAGCAAAAGCTACTTCCAGGCTTAACAAAGGTATCACTTACTTTGTGTAAGCATTGCATAACAAGTAAGCAGCACCGGTTGAAATTCAACACGTCAAATTCTAGAGGAAAAAATGTTCTAGAATTAGTTCATTCTGACGTATGGCAAGCACCAGTTACATCCCTAGGTGGAGAAAAATACTTTATCTCATTTATTGATGACTACTCTAGGAGATGTTGGGTGTATCCTATTAAGAAGAAGTCAGATGTGTTTTCAACTTTCAAAATCTTCAAAGCGCGGGTGGAACTTGATTTTGGAAATAAGATCAAGTGTTTCAGAACAGATAATGGAGGAGAATACATCAGCGAAGAATTTAATGACTTTTGCAGGAAAGGAAGGCATCAAAAGACAGTTCACAATGGCAAACACTCCTCAACAAAATGGAGTGGTAGAGCGGATGAATAAAACCTTGTTAGAAAGAACAAGAGCAATGTTGAGGGATGCAGGCCTAGAAAAATCATTCTGGGCAGAAGCAGTCAATACCGCCTGTTATTTGGTAAATCGAGCTCCATCAACTGCAATAGAGCTGAAGACACCAATGGAGATGTGGACTGATAAACCAGCTGATTATTCAAACCTCCATATATTTGGAAGTATTGTGTACGTGATGTACAACTCCCAAGAAATCTCAAAGCTGGATCCAAAATCCAGGAAATGCAAATTCTTGGGGTATGCTGATGGAGTCAAGGGGTATCGCTTGTGGGATCCCACTGCCCGCAAAGTGATCATCAGCAGGGATGTTATCTTTGTAGAGGATAAACTACAAAGAAAAGAAGACGATGATAGCACTGAAAAGTCAGAGATTACATAGATAAATGTGGAAAAGGAGTTTGAACAAGGAGATTCTTCTGAAGCAGAACCAGCACATGATGAACAAGAACCAGAGAGTTCTGAAGCACTAACAACTCGTCAATCAGATCTTGTGAGAAGACGTCCCAATTGGCACTCAGATTATGTTATAGAAGGTAATATTGCATATTATCTTTTAACAGAGGACGGTGAGCCATCAACATACCAGGAGGCAATAAACAACTCAGATGCTTCACTGTGGATGATGGCGATGCAAGAAGAAATTGAAGCCCTTCATAAAAATAATACATGGGACCTTGTGCCACTACCACAAGGAAGGAAGCCAATTGGTAACAAATGGGTCTTCAAAATCAAGCGAAATGGTGACGATCAAGTTGAGAGGTATCGTGCAAGACTGGTGGTCAAAGGATATGCTCAAAAAAAAAGGTATTGATTTCAATGAAATATTTTCTCCTGTGGTTCGACTAACAACAGTTCGAGTAGTTTTGGCAATGTGTGCTACATTGAACTTACATCTAGAGCAGCTAGATGTTAAAACAGTTTTTCTTCATGGAAATCTTGAAGAAGAGATTTACATGCTCCAGCCTGAAGGTTTTGAAGAAAAAGAAAAGAAGAACTTGGTTTGCAGGTTGAATAAATCTCTGTACGGTCTAAAGCAGGCGCCGAGGTGTTGGTATAAGATATTTGATTCCTTCATTATGTGCCTTGGATATAACAGACTTAATGCAGACCCTTGTGCTTATTTCAAGAGGTCCTGTGATAACGATTTTGTTATATTGATGTTGTATGTGGATGACATGTTGGTTGCAGGACCCAACAAAGATCATATTGAAGAATTGAAGGCACAACTGGCTAGGGAATTTGAAATGAAGGACTTGGGATCAGCAAACAAGATTCTAGGGATGCAAATTCACCGAGACAGAAGTAATAGGAAGATTTGGCTTTCATAAAAGAATTACTTGAAGAAGATCTTGTCACGATTCAGCATGCAAGATTGTAAGCCAATTTCTACCCCTCTTCCTATTAACTTCAAATTATCCTCCAGTATGAGTCCTAGCAGTGAAAAAGAGAGGATGGAGATGTCTCGAGTACCATATGCATCAGCAGTGGGAAGTTTAATGTTCGCTATGATATGCACAAGACCAGACATTGCACAAGCAGTGGGAGTGGTTAGTCGGTACATGGAAAATCCAGGAAAAGAGCATTGTAATACAGTAAAGAGGATCCTGAGATACATCAAAGGGACCTCAAATGTTGCATTATGTTACGGAGGATCAAACTTACTAATCAATGGGTATGTAGATTCTGACTATGCATGGGATTTGGATAAAAGCAGATCTACTACAGGATATGTGTTCAAAGTTGATGGTGGAGCTGTAAGTTGGGTTTCAAAATTGCAGTCAGTTGTGGCTACATCCACAACAGAGGCAGAATATGTAGCAGCTATACAAGCTAGTAAAGAGGCAATTTGGTTGAAGATGTTATTGGAGGAGCTTGGGCACAATTAAGAGTATGTCTCTCTGTTTTGTGACAGTCAAAGCGCCTTGCATCTAGCAAGGAATCCAGTATTTCATTCAAGTACAAAGCACATACCAGTTCAGTACCATTTCATTCGTAAAAAGGTGGAAGAAGGGACAGTAGATATGCAGAAAATCCATACCAAAGACAACATAAGAGATTTCATGACAAAGGCAATCAACGCTGATAAATTTACCTGGTGTCAATCCTCTTGTGGCATGTCAAAGACGTAAGCAACATGATGGTACAAGGTAGAAAGAATGATGTGAAGATATGATTGTTCCAATCAAATCTTCAAGTGGGAGATTGTTGAAAAATCAAACCACATGGGCTGCTAAGCAGCCGGTGGCTTTGAAAAAAAAATTATTAAAAGCCAAATTTGTTGATTTTTTATATGGTCAAATTACAAACTTTAGTCATTAAACTTTAGTGTATTTACAAGATTAAGTCCTTAAGATTTAGCTATAAATACCCTATCACATTTGGCTTCAAAACCATCCCAAAGCATTCTAGCTTTCTTCCAATACTAGAGAGAATTTAGAGAGTTTCTTGAGAGTTGTTTTCTCCTTTTTATCAAGAGAGAATTATCATTGTTTTCTCCTTGGTCGATTGAGAGAAGTTGTAATTCCTATTTTCTCATAATGAAATTCTTCTACCGTTGCCCGTGGTTTTTACCCTATATTATCCAGGTGTTTTCCACGTAAATTTTGTGTCTCTTTTATCTTCATTTTTATTTTCTCAAATTATCAGTTCCTAATTTGCTCTATCCGATAGCCGTCTTCCGAACACATTAGATGTAAACCAGTTCTTGACTCTCTCACCAAATGTCTTGAAGCAAAACTCTGCATAGTTCTCCCTGAAATATTCGAATCACAAATTAAATACTAAACATTTGAGACAACTTTTCCAAGAATACAGGATTATGGGGATAGTGAGATCATTCAATAACGAGAAGCTCAAGAAAAATAAAAGAAAAGAAAAACGTTCTACTTACACAATTTGGCGGCTCAAGTAACCACCATACTTTTCCTGAAGAGCTAGAGGGAGATCATAATGGTTTAAGTTCCCGTAGGGAGTAATGCCTACAAACGGAATGAATCAGCAGAGGTTTTCATTCCAGGATACCGGCAATCATAGCAAACCCTAAACCCAACATTATCAAGATTTGAGGATGAAACATGAACCCGACATTCCAGGATACTGGCAATCATAGCAAAACAAATTGAAAACTGGTTTCAAGCAATGGGAATTCATTTCAGTCACCTTTCTTGACCATGTAGTTGATCAATCTATTGTAATAAGCAACTCCATCTACAAAAATTATAAATAACTCAAAGAGTTAATTAGTTAAAAAAAATGAACAATAACCAAAACAATTGAGCCATTGGTGCAAATACCAGGAAAGATCCTCGACCATGAAATAGAAAACCGGTAAGCATTGAAGTTGAATTTCGCCAGTAAATCTATATCTTCCTGTGGAAATAGAGGGACATGAATCCACACAATTATATCATATTTATTATATCGTTACAAACAAAATTTTAAGTGAAGACGGTAACCTTGTAGCGGGGATACTGATCCACAGCTACGTCAGCCGTATCATTATTGGCAATGTAGCCTGTTCCAACAACAAATAAAACACTGGAGTATAATTAATTTATATATTTTTCTGGTTAGAAATTAATTAATTAGAAAATGACACTATTCTATACATCCCATTCCCACGAACAGTCTCTTGAGAGTTGAGCTGATCGGAAGAAGGAAATCACATTTTTTTTCTCCAGAAATTATAAATAAAAAAGAAAGAGATATAGAGGCATTAGTAGTGGTATTACCTGGTTGTTTGACGTAAACATCCCAGACGCAGGGGCCTCGGCCGCCCTGACCGGTCATCCCTTCAACATGATAAGCAGAAGTTCCAAATACAAATCCCTTGGGGAAGCTTTCTCTGCTAAGCCCTCCGGTGTCGCTCACTGCCTCCAAATTCCGGTGCTGCCTACCCGCATTTGCAATGCACAGAATCGCAGTAAAAGTATAACACAAGAGCCACGCCTTCATCACTGTAAGCCTCACTTCACTCCCAAAACCAAAGAAACGACAGTGTGTATGACTGAGTCTGAGAAAATGGATACTTTTTCAATTTTTAAAAAAGTAGGAAATTTTTTGTTCTCATCTATACGGATCCCAATTAGAATTGCTTAATGAGTTGAGTAGGTTGTGTGTAGGTCGAACTCGACTCAATTAAAATTAGATAAAAATTCGACTCGGGATGACTCGAGTTCAACTCGAGATATTAACGAATTGATTCGAGCAAAGTTCAACTCGGTTCAATAAATTCGCGAGCATATCGTTAATTTTTTATATAATTTTTTCTGTAGTTATCTTAAAAAAATCATTTCATTAAAAAATACTAATTTACTAATAGATAATAGAAAAGATTATACATTATTAATATATTAATTTTCTAATAAAAAATACTAAATTATTAATTAGAATTTTACTACACTCAAAAATCAAACAATACTTATTATTTTAATGTATTTGTGGATTGTTACTTTGGAGTTTAGATTTTGAAATTGTTTCGTATTCTTTTGATAATATTTTTGGTTAAATTTATTAATTTATGTTTATATTAAGCTTTGTATAATATTAGTAGATTTTACTTATAATTAAGAAAATAAGGTAAAAATTTCAGCGAGCTTAATGAGCATCGAGCTTAACAAACAACGATTCGAGCAACAAGTTTTTTGAATGAGCATGAGTCGAGCAAAAATTTATCGAGCTTAATGAGCAACGAATCGAGTCGAGCAACAAATTTTTTTAACGAGCACGAGTTGAGCACTGTCCAAATCACGATTGACTCGCTCGATAATCGCCCTAATCCCAATTTACTTTGTCTAAGATTTTTTAATTATTTTTCCATATTTTATTTTATATTTATATAAAATGATCTTTTATCATTTTCAAATATTATATTAATATTTATATAATTTGATGGGGGAAATGATAGGTTAATCTCATTGCATTTTCTTAAAAACGACCGGTTCTTCTTTCTTTCCTTCTTGAAATTGTCATAATTGTGGAATATTAATTAGGAAAACAATATTCTTGAGTTTAATAGCATATAATTTTAGTAGTGCAATTTCAAAATACGTATATCTAAATTTAGGTTAATTAAATTAAAGATAAAACGTAATATGTTGAAAATTTTAAATTTTAATTAAAAGTAGCAATATAAGAAATTAAAAGTAATAATGATTTAGTTAAAAAAAAATTAAACTTGAAATCGACTCAAACTAACTTTTATTATTTTTGGTTGGCTCGTTTATATTTTATAAAAAAACATTTTTAACTGTATTATTTAGTTTTTCACAATAGGTATTTATTTTATAGAATAGAAAACTAAAAAAATAATTGTGAGTTATTCAATTTCAAAAAAAAAAAAATTCAATTTGAATAGTTACTATGTCCAAAATTATGAATCTAAAATCAAAATCAAATTGATTTTTCTAGGCTTTTTATTCAAAAATAATTTGAACTTATGTTCTCTTTGAGGATTTTTTAAATATTCATTTGGAAAGTGTAATTACCCCTACTATTATTGATTTCATCATCTTCTTTGAATATTGAGAATTGAAGTTTCAATTCATAGAAGCAGCTAAACACTATTATCACAAAAATCCCAATACTGATGAATATTTAAGTTTCATTTACGTAAAGCTTATTACCGGTTACACCTGCACTGCACAACATAACCCAGAACTCTCTTTAAGAGCTCATGTCTTTTGGCCCAGCCAACATCTGAGTAGTTCCATGTCCACTTTTCGCCCGAAAGAACTTCTAAAATCACTTAAAAAATAAAACTAACTTTCCCCTGCGGTTTATTACTTCCATATGATATACAAGCACACAAAATATAGAGACTAGCATGAAGCAAAAAAGTACTGAATAGTACCTAAGCTCAATGAGATTGCATTTCTGAAGAATCTATTAGACCTTCTAATACAACAAGCTGATCCAGTAGGGCAAACTTTTCATCTTCAAGAGCCTTGACCTCATCTTCAATTTCTTTAACCTCTTTACCCAATGTAAAGCTCTCTTCCTCCAGTAGCAAATACTTGCGCCTCAGCACGCGGTACTCGTTTCCAGATGTAGAAGAGTCTGGTAATGAATCTGAGTTAGATCTCTCAGGTTGCTGAAATATTGGAGACATTTCATTCTTCGGGTTCCTCTTTGACGTCTTTTTCCCTTTTAATGGTAGGGATCCCTGTACCTGCTGAGCCCCTTTAATATTATTTCTTTCTAACAGAAACAGAGGTCCTTTGTTAGCAGAGCTTTTCTGTTTAGGCGGCTTAAGATTCAAACCTTCCTCTGATGGTGGCATCCTTGGATCTTGCATTCTCGCTGCTGAAAACAATACAATGATTAAAGTATTAGCATATTAGTTTTTTTTCTCTCTCTATATAACTGCTGTGAATCATGTATGCAAATCCAAGCATAACTTTAAATATCCTCACTGATAAACACATGGTTTTGGCATGCTTAACAAGATAGAGAATCTCAGAAAGAATTGTACGAATCAAAAACAACTTTAGATACACAGATGATGAAACATACAAAACCGACTTATCTAAAGGTTACCACAAATCATACAAAATCAGTTTATGCATATTCTACAATTATCCAACTCATCTCTAAATCCCCTTTCAACTTTTGAGCTGACTACGCATAAGCGACAACGCATGATGAAAAGATGCTGTTAATGCCCTATATCCTATCTACCCAGAATAAGGAAATGATTGAAGTTAAATTGTCTCATCTTCCTACTAACTGACCCCTACTGTTGAGGTTTAAGGATGATTCAAAGTTTAAACTAATACCGTTGTCGAATAGGGAGCATTTGGAACAGTTAAAAGCTGATACGGCTTAGGTTCAAAGATAGAGCAACTAGAAAACAGGATTTACATAAACATCCCAGATTTAATCTATTACAAATGGGACCTTACAATCACCTGAGTAAACATCCAAATTACGCCTGCAAAGCCCGATTTCCAAACTCTCCAATTACAAGGAATAAAACTTAACCATCTGTTATTCATAACCAGAACCGTTTAGAACAAAACAGATCCCCCCATAATCTGAAATAAACGAAACATCATGTTGCTTACAAACAGGAAATTAACATTATATCTTAAGTGGGATGCTAATAAACATATGAATATCTAAAAAAAGACTAAAGAAAAGTTAATTATGGCCTAAATTTTCAGGTAAAATAGAACAAATACTGCAGGAACATGTGCAACCCGTGAATTTGAAAACAGTTTTTGATCATCTAGAATCTACAATCTAAAATAGAAATTCCTCAAAAGGGATAATCAACAAGAGAAACTTCACCTTGGGAAACAGAACACGGAGTTTGGGTTCAGAAAAATGGGATTGGCTTAATAATCGAAGGAAGGGGATTTGGGTAGGTTTTGAAATCTAGGGTTTTGATTTGGGGTATACAAAAGATAACAGGAAAGAGGAAATAGAGGAAGATTGGAGTAGGAAACCTTGTATTACGACTTTCGACGACTGTCCACCCCTCCATCCATATTTGGTGATGTCTTGTTTTACCAGATCTTTTTTCCTTTTACCTGTGGGGGGTCGGGTTGACCCGTTGGAAAACTGTTTTTGGACATAAGTATTACGGTCCGTTTAGTCTTGGTTATTTTTTTGAATAATCATTTTTTTAATTATATATATATCTAACCCAACTTTTTTTTTGTTGAAAATAACTAGGATATTTCTAAAAGTGGTATTAATAAACATCTTGTCAAGTACAGATTGAATAAATACAGTCATGATTATCGAAAATAAAATATAACAATGATCGCTTAGAGATATCATGATAAACAAAACCATCAACAAGTGAAGCAAAAATGTACATAAACTAAAACACAAAAGGTTTTAAGAATCAAACATGGAGGAGAGAAACTTGAAGAATAACCAAAATGACCAACGGAAAAAGCAATCTCCTCTTAACATCAATATCATCTGGCATATATATGTGATAACCAACGAACCGTTTGTACAATGTAACACCCATAGTCCGTATAATTCTCGTAATACGAGTTAAAGATGTAACACCCATAGTTCATATCCTCCACCCAACTCCGACCGACCTAAATTTTTAGAGTATAAATCCGACCCTACCCAATAAAAACAAGGATTTAATTAAAAATAATAAATTTTAAGATAATTACATTATTATTTTCGGGTCAGGTTAGAGTTTTTTCACCCTCCACCCGAACCCGACTTACATCGCCCCTTAAAAAATCTGACTCGACTCAAACCTGAAATTATTTTAAAAAAATTTCAACCCTATTAGGTTGTGTCGAGTCAGAACCCGTCAGATTCGTGTTAAATTGTCATCCCTAATTAGAAGCATTAACTCATACATTACATTACAATACAATAGAAGCATTAAGTGGTTACCCCCACAACTTAGTCTTCATAGTCAATTGACTTGTTAAATATTAAGTTCTTCAACCCTCCATTATTTCTCTTGTTTCCTTCTATATATAAATAGTTCAAGTTTTTGAAATTTAGCTTCTATATTGTCAGATATATCTAGAGATTTTATTTTTGTTGTGGAAGGAGTAACGACTTGCTTGTGATACTCGACAAATAAGTCAACATTACTCATTGAATTAGTAATGTATGTGTCAATCATTGTTCGAATTGCAATATCATTGTTCATATAACTCATTTGGAAACCTGAATTGTAATAAAGAAAATGTTGAATCTTCATTAGTTCCAACCTTGTTTAAAATTTCTGCCATCAAGTCGAAAATTCGAATGTCTCCCTTTAAGGAGATGGTGAAAGAGTTTTCCTCTCAATAAATTGTTGCCATGAAAATTTTCAAAATAGGAACTTGAACAATGAAATTGTGTCACATATAGGCATGGTTATATATAACACTAAAAAGTTATTGTGAAATAATTATGATAAGGTTTGATGAATTATTAAATATGGTCAATAAGTTCAGAAATATGGTGATATATCATTGAAAAGAAAAATGATGTTTTGAATTATTATGATAGGATCTGATATATCACAAAATTGAAGTGATATATCATTGAAAATATCATAGAATTGAAGTGATATAACACTAAAAAATTCATAAATGAAGTGATTGAACACTAAAAAGATTTTGTCATTATTCATTCAACAATAACTGAAAAGAAATGAAAAAGGATGTTTTTCCATTTTTCATTAAAAGTGGTCAAAGAAAAGAAAAGGATATAATCTTCAAGTTTTCTTCTCTCCTTATGTTTATCAAGTATCGACTTTATTGTCTCCTTCATCAATTCTTAATCTGAAGACGAGCTTGAATCCAAATCACCAGAGCCTGAGTTGTCAAATCCAAAAAGATCGTTCATGGAATCAAAATAAATTTTTTCTCAAAGATACATGATTTGATTCTCAGAATTTTTTCTTTCTCACTTCTCATATAAACTCCATTAACTCACCTCACTCCTATTTATACAAAACAATTTATCAATATGACTGTCGGAACTTGTCACACCCACTTGACGAGTTCCTCATTAATTTAAAATCTGATCATTGCCCAACAACTATAAATGACTAGTTTTTTAAACCAAATGGAACTCATTGCTTCGGCATTATGAGTTCTGTAATTTTTTTTGTACAAAAATTACTTTGAAAAAATATCTAAATTAAAATAAATATTTTTTAACAGAACTCATCATGTCTACGTGACGGGTTTCAAGAAATATAATAAAATATTAGATCTAACGTCTGGGTCCATTAAAATATATTTTTCATATGAAACTTATCATGTCGATGTGACGAATTACAGGAATACTACAGAAAATGTCGTAGTTCTCTAAATAAATTACTTTGGGTCGTATTTGGCTAAATAAAAAAGCTTGGCCAATTTTACCGGCTTTGCTATGCTTACTTTTTTTTCTCTTTGATGTTTATGAGAAGTATAATAAAGTTTATAATAGTATTTAAGATATTTATTTAATTTTATTAAATTGAGGTGATTATAAGAATAGTATCTGTTTTAAAAATTATAAATCATTTGACAATAGACGCTAATACATTTATGGCTACAAACATTGGTGCTCGAATCTAAGGCTTCTAAAGACAAGAACCGTCCCTTTAATCATTGAGATAACTTGATTCGTGCATTTAAGAGATTTATTTGAAATTTAATATATTAAAATTTTATATTATTTAAATTATGAAGTATTCATATTTTTAAATCTGAATAAATTCTAAATAAAACTCACACATAAGATAAGATCGAATAAGACTCAAATATAAAACTTCAAAATTTCAATACCTCGTCTTATACCGTCGGTCTGAAGGCCTCATAGGGAGGGTTTCAATACATGCATTAACCTAACGAGTCCAAAGACAAGATAGCCGAGTTAATGAGTGTGCTTAATCAGGATGGGACCAACCCAACCTCCCATAAAACTTGGTTCTTAAATAAGTTGATCGCCTAACTAACCCTCGTGAGACAACTCTGGTAGAGATGAATTAAGGAGGAACGACTATCTCTATATTCAAATCATTATATATTTTTAAATAAAAAAATTTATGTTTTTTATTAACAATATATTTTTACTCTTAAGATTTTATAAATTCATTCTCACCTGAAATTAATAATATTCATCGTTCCTAATATAAAATCGGGGCCTCCGTCCCAATTTCAAACATCAGACCTCATTTATTTCCACACAACTTTCAGCTATACAAATGAATGATCTTATCCTTTCAACATGGTTTCCCGTACCAACAATAATAAACTTGTAAACTTCCTTTTCTTCCATTTTTTTAAAGCTAATCATACAAGGGAGAGACAAGTTTCCCAATGACATTAGTACATGCGGTGCTCATTACCTGACCAATTGCGTCTCACCACGAGGACGATTACTTGAGAAAATACGAGGACCCTTCAGAAAGCATGAAAACTAATAAACTTTGGACTGCCCAATCCAGAAAATTTCTCAGCCATTTAATTTGACTTGTCCATCATTAATAAATAAAACAACAATTCAACAACTGATGTGGATGAAAAATATATAGCAAATACAAAGAAAATATATAAAATTTCAAAATTTTCAGGGGCCACCGCTTCTCCCATCAACGACCCCCTTTACTCGAATGTAAAATTTAATTGAAGGGAAAAAAATCATATCCAAATACAAACCATGGAGAAAGGGAGAAGAACTTGATTGATTGGTAAAGTATTACAACATATGACAGTTTCTTTACAAACAGACTAGTATATACATGCGTACGGCATCATATAATTTCCAGTTTATTCACACTTTTCTTTACCAGTCACCCGACACCCCACAAACGGCCTGGACTGGACTGGACCGGCATGGCAACTTCTTTACGTACCAAAACACCTCCAAGAAGAAAAAGGAAAATAAAAAAGGAAACCAGAAGCGATCATAGATCAGTTGGGGTGCAAACCAGAGCTCTCTGCTGTAAATGTCTCAAGCTCTGCTCCATGCTGACTTGGACCATCTCAGCCACCATCTTCTTTGCTTTACTAGATGGGTCCTCTCCATCCATCTGAGATATTAAGTTGCAAACGATGTTCTCTAGTGTGTCGGGTTGAAGCTCGGATCTCGGATATGGACTCTCCCTCAATAACCTCAAAAGGGTCTTAGCTTTCGTCTGGGACTTGGGTGTTCCTTGCACTGTCAACTCCAGTAGTCCAGGAATCACGCCTTCTCTAAGAATCGGTTCCCTATATTTACATCGGTCACTTTCGCATGTTGTCAGCAGTGCCCCAACAGCATGTTCCCTGGCTTGGAGAGTGCCGTTCTCGAGCACCTCGACGACTGCTAATATTCCGCCGTCTTCAGCTGCCAAAGCGGTTCTTCCTTCATCGAAACACACCAAGGATGCTATCACGGAACAGCATTTCTCGGCTGCTTTTGAAGACTTTTTCGAGGCTTTCAGCAAACTAACAATGGAGGGGATGGGACTGGTTTCATTGATGGCGGTAAGATTTTTAGGATGTGTGGAGAGATTGGATAGAGCCGTCACAGCATCAACCTTAGATTGCGTGGGTCCATGTGTAAGCATATGTACAAGCAAAGAAATGGCACCGGATGTAATGATAATCGGCTTGTTGTTGACAGACGCTGATAGAGTGAGCAACACTGCTGTTGCAGAACCTTGCAGGTTTATGTTATCACTTTGAAGGAATCTAATGATTGGCTCCAATGCACCAGCTTCCACAATGCTCATCTTATTCCTGCACAATTTGATGCAAAACAATGTTTAAAAAACATTTCCAATCCACTCATAACTGTAATCAACATCAAAATATTCCTGCCAGATTGGATTAAAGTTTCTATAATGATATCCTCATGCTTGCAAATTCTCTAGGCATCTTAATCTAGGATTATTAGCTAGACTAATAGTTGTACAAGCTACCTCACCGTTTCTCTTTAACCGCACACCTTAAACGAATCATTCTTATCTCTATTTATAAGATCATCTCACTGTTTCTCTCTTAACCGCACACCTGAGT